AGCAATATTGCTGCAACTTTTGTACTGTTGGGATTAATGCAACAAGACTTTTTTCAGAGTACACAGAAAGAACGGTTTCGCTAAAGTTTAAAAATTTAGCTGGATACAGATTTAACAATAACTTTATTAGATAAAATAATTATACATATAGGACGCTCAACTGATTGCTAGAATCTCAAAACTTTTTGTAGCATTGCTCGTCATGTTTCAGTTTATTATACATAATCGTTTTGATGGGCCAAAATTATTTTTAGAGAGATCTACTTAAATTTTTAGATAAAACCCTTAAAAATTATTTCTTTCGTGTAGGGTAAGATTGTCGAAATTGTACCGACTTTCTAAATCGCATTATCTCGCCTAAAAATTCAATTATTGTACTTACACATTTACTTATGAATTATTCGAGAACTACATGGTACTCGTGCAACACTACTGTGTGACACAAAGCACAATATACAAGTTATTATTTATGTAAATAAGAAAAACATAAAGTGTTACTATTTTCAACATACTTCATATAGCAGAATTGCAGAAAATGTAAGTTAAATAAGCTATGTTTTGATATATTGTCGTGGTTGAAATGCTATTAGAATAAGATTAATAAGATTATAAAGTTTCTTTTTACGTTCTTCACAGATTAAATAAATAAAGTTTTGCAAAAAGCTCTAATTTCCCAAATTGCACCACAATCTAATCTCGATTCTAAATCGCATGTTGCCTTATATTACTTATTCATAATGATTTCTTATATTTTTATTCCTTTTTATTAGATATGTAAAAATATATATGTATTTAAACCTGCAAAGTTATTTTGTTTCACATAGAAACTCCTTGAATTACCTTTTAAAATATTACTATTTGTTCCAGAAATTATGAAAAATATTCTTAAATTTTTAACAGCATATGAAAATACATCTTTCTCCTTTAATTAAAAAATTTTTTTTAATAAAAAATTCTCATTTAAAACGGTATAATGCAAAAAATAATAAAAATATACAAAGAAGGAAAGAGAGAGTGTAGTTTGTTATGCTGTAAAAAACTTAAGAATACTCTTTATAATTTCTGAATTATAAGCCTTTATTTAAAAAATGCAATTTCAGCAATTACTCTACGTATTAAAATCGTAAGCAACGCAAGCAATTAGTAAAGCAACGACCGGATAAAAGGACATTAACATACGACTTTCCGAGATACTGAGGCAATTATCGTGTCAATGTCATTCTTTGCCAATCAGACATGAATAACCGAGAATAATCGCAACGAACATTTACATATTCCGCCTCTAGGAATATTCTGCGGAAATAGAGGGAAAGTGGTAATACGATGGCAAAAAAACAACTGCCATATCGTGAGCAGTTGACCGAACAGTTCATGCATACAGCTTGTAAATGGTATACACGTATGTGTATTGTGTATACGCCTCAGAATTGCAACAATCATGATAGAGGCGGATAATAAAGCGCTCCACGACAGAACACTGTTTATACTGTATTCGTTATGCGTGACTCATTGAAACGACGTATCGACGCGATCGGAAGACAAGCCTCCAGGCCTCAATATGCAGCTGCTTGTTTGAGGAATGCAGAAAATAGCGCGCAACATTCCGTGCGGCGCTGCCCATATTTGTTCGGCTTCGAATTATTCTTGCTCCTCTCGTTACATTCCGCCTCTTCCCCAATGCATACCTCCACCCCGATACCGATCGCTGAAAATATAATTGATTCAAGAATAATTTACCTTGAACGATAATCAGAGACTCCGTTGCAATCTTAATTTCACGACGTATTTCAGCGATGTTACAAAGAGGCAGGAAAAAGATGTTATCGGATTTCAATTCCGTTATATCTTTGCGCAGAAAAATTGATTGCTCCGAGATCTTCGCGAAGAGTGAAAATTAAAAAATTTGTGGCTTTATTAAAAGAAAAAACTGTTTAGTATTTGTAATTAAAAATAAAATAATTATGATCAAGAATTTTTATAATTGTTGCTATTATAATGTTAGTAATAGTATGACGTATGTCTTTTGTCTTTGTTTTTGCCTTATATCTTTGTAATTATATTAATTATGAAAAATTATATCATAAATCATGATAATTTTAAATTAGTATTGACGAATTGATCAAATTAGTACAAAATATCAAGATGTGGTAAATAAAATTAATACTTTGATTTGTTACTACTTGAAATGTATTAAGGAAGTGGTATCTCATACAAGACTACTAAGATGTCTGGAATTATTAATCAAGACATTTTATTATACTACACTGCTGAAGATGACTTGAATTAAGCCGAACCCGTGTTTCCTGTTATTGGTTAAGTTTTATCTCAAGAGCCCGATTTTTCTTTTTCTTTTTAAAATTAATACTATTTTTGTACATATTAAAAACATTTTTTGTATTTATGTTAGAAACGGTCCACTCAAGTCCTTGTCAAAAATTTGTATTAAATTTTTATGATTATGTTATTTTAATGTTTTTTTTAAATCAGTGTTCGACATTTCTTAGTATCAAAATAACACAAAAAATTTATAAATGAATAAACAAATAACACAAAAATAATGCATTTTAAAGCGTAAATTCTAAAATAAGTGAATAAAAATACGTATTAATTTAATATATTATAAATTTTATGGAAAAATATGCTTTTGCAGCTTGCTTACAAATTATATCAGTACACTTTTTGAATGGATTGTTTGGAACATGTGAAATGTGTTAATTTTAATGCAAATTGTCCAACTATGTAAATACAATTGTAATTATAGTGAATATGAATATTTTCTTAATATTTTATTTGTTTACATGATGCTATTATTTCCATGATAATCAATCGTTTTTTTTACGTATCCACATATTTTTTCTCATTGTCAATGTTGAACAATAAGAAAAGATATCAAGCGATACGGTAATGTCTCGGTGCTAAGAGTAGGCGCCGATATATGTGTAACATTCGTATTTTCCATTAAACTGGAAACTATTTTGGTTCTTTTATAATAAAGACATTTTGTTCGCCACTCTCTACCGCATTTCCGCCAGTAAATAATGATCTCTCGTGCCACTTCGTTGATCTCGACAAATCCCAAACTAGTTGATGCGATCTGTTTACCGGATGGTGCACTTAAACCAACAATCTATTAACGTCGATCGTTGAATATGTACGTTTTCCGCTGCGAATAACCGGAATAGCTTAGCTAGCCGGTGAAAGCGTGCATCAATGGTAACTTAACTCGTGATAACGCTCACGAGGAGTTGCTTCCAGTCGTTATATATCCCTGCAGTCGTGAACCCTCGATCTCTACGTAAGTGCGATATACGCGCATGACATAATCTTAGATTCAATGAGATGCGATATTCGCGCAAGTGTCATTGCATAATCATCCTCGTTGCATAAGCTAATGAAGGCTGCAAATAGAACAATCGTTCTATCAATATTCGAGCTCGATTCCGATGGCAAAGAATTTCTTAAAAAACTCATAAATTCGCTCATTGATGAATGCAATTAGCAACGCAATTATTATTCAACAAATATATAATTAACGATCTTTTCTTTATTGCAAAATAGAAAAGTGACGGCGTCTGAAACTCGTAACGATGAACACAGATAGGCCGAGTTATATCATCAAAATGTTCAATACGTTAACTGAGGTTTGTCTTCCTCTTCCTCATTCTATTGTCGTGGCCGCCAACATATCATTACAAATCACACGCAGTACGAATATCGTAGAGCAAGTAATGGTATACGCATTTACATTGCGTGATTATGACAACGTCAATTCGAGCAGACAAAAGACCCGGATAAACAAATGTTACTGACGTCAACTTACCCCGGTAAAATGTTTCATGCATGAATGTATATAAAAATGTATATAAACATACATAAAATTATGTATAAATACTTATAAATATATATACATAGTTATATATGAAATATGTCCATATATCCTTCTTTTTTACTAAAATTACTTGTTAGTATAATAAAAATAATAATAATAATGAAAAGACATTAAAAACAATTAAAAGAATAATTTTTACACTATTTGTTTTAGAAGAAGTTTGGAGAAATGTAAAAAAATTGCTGATATATAATTGTATGTAAAATTATACATAATTATATATGAGCAATTTTTTTTATATTTCTCTAAACGTGATTTTCTTTCTAAAACAAACAATGCGATAATTGTCCCTTTAATTATTTGTTATATTTTCTTGTTATTATTATTTTTATTACATTAAGAAGTAAGTTTACGAAAGAAAAAAAATGTATGAACATGTATGGACATATTTCGTATACAATTAGATATGTTTATGAATATTTATACATATTGCTGTATATTTATATATATTCATGTATGAAAATTTTTCTACCAGGACCTTAGCGTTAAACGTTATAGACGTTAATGTGAAATGTATCTCTAAAGTTCCTAAGGTGTGTGATCGTGTAGAAGTGAATTAGAAAATCCGTTCACTTCTTTTTGAAGCATGAGGTAACAATTGGTTGAACATCGAGGTAAGCTTCAAGGTGATCTGAACATAAATGTGCGCGGTCAGCCTTGTCAAATATCTTTTCCCTAAACGATTGGAAGTTTCATTACTCGCAAGAGTTCGAAGGCTCTTCAACTCCCACCATCATTCTCAGCGCTTTTAGATTCAATGATCATCCTTTCAAACATTTAGTAGTGATTTAACCCTCGTGCAACACGCAATATTTGCCCAATACAAGTTCGACAAACAGTCGTAGTGTTCGTTCAACAGTTTTGCATGCATTCGTATTCCAGTGCGCTCGCAACATGTTTCCGTAATAATCTTCGATATAGAATTTTTTTTTATTTACTATCAAAACAATCCTTTTGTTTGAAGAAGATTACATTAATTTTAATTGGTGATTGAGTATAAAAAATGAATAGGAAACTCACCATCGTGATTCAAACATTAGTACGCGACATTAGCAAATTAGCGACACTGTGCAAATTGTTATCGATCACGTCGGTTTTTTTTTTTTTACAGGATGAGGATGAGGAGCGGCATGAACGGACAAGGAGTCGGCGACAATGGCAAAGGAACTTTGCCATTCCTGCTCCTCATCGCATTGACTCCTGTTATCTGCTCCGCCGGAATCCTGGACCCTTGGCAGTGGGCGCGCAGCGATCGGATCGAAGTCAACATACCTTGGCTGCCTTGTAACTATCATACAGATTAGATACAAAAATTCGATCACAGTAATGTTAGGAGTACATTTTATTCTTCTTTACAATGTCCAAGAATGTATACACTGCCGGCTGAAAGTTTGAGACCATTAATTAAAAATGTCTACTATATATGAATAATATGCAGACTAATATAATTGATACATAATTAATATAATATAATAACAATAAATAACAATAAAATTAAGGCTAATGAGAATCAGCGCGGGAAAAGGTGCGCATAAGTATTAATCCATCTATACTTCCAATTGGTAAATGATGATTGATCCAATTGGTTGAGTCACTATCAGGTTCCCAAGACTGAAGTGGAATCTGATATTTAAAGTTAAAGGTTTGAAATATATACTAAAGAGAACAATTCTGAAAAAAAATTTTTCAACAAGGACACACCGTCTAGCCAATATGGATTTTTAATTTTGTGTTACTTGCTGATGATGACTCTAAAGAGAGTGGAAACGTTCGAGATTTTGGAATAAAGATATACATCATTTACCAATTGGAAGTATACATGGATTAATACTTATGCGCACCTTTTCGCGCGCTGACTCTCATTAGCCTTAATTTTATTGTTATTTATTGTAAAGTTTGAGAGTCCGATTTAAATTATATTTTGTTGATAATAACGTATAATTTAATATATTTTTATTACATAACATGTATCATGACATATAATATTCCTATATTTCGTAATATAGTTATGTTAAAATAATTATATAATATAATTACATACCCTGGTAGAAATTTCATGCATTTTTTGAGCAGTTACTGAACAGTTACACCAACTTCTGTCTAGTAATTGAGAAGGAAAAGTACTTAGGATCCCAATCAGGATGTAACGCTTTGTTTGCAGTTACTGCATATAAAAGTTGCGTAAAATCTGAATCCATTTACTGCATAGAAACACAATAAATAATGGATATTAAATTGATTAATAAGCAAGCCAACTGCTCGTGAAATGGACAGAATAAAACTCTATCAAGTTCTTGTCCATTTCCTACTCAATATTGGCACAATTAATGAGAATACAGTAATATTAGATAGTAACTGAATAGGTGTCTAGGAAAACTGCATACATAGGGATAATATAATTACATATAATATAATATTTAATTTTGTGTTATTTCATTCAATATTTTATAATAAAATGAAAAATAATATAAAATATTTGAAAATTTTACAAAACATTTTTACCAATTTTTTTACAATAAAAGCACTAAATATTAGATTTCTTTTTTGTTAAAGTAGCCACCCTTTACAATTAATCGTATTGTTTTACTCTAATCTAAATAATCTCCATAAAACACAATATTACTAGAATGTCATATGAATATTAAAAAGATAAATAATATTTATACAACATTTTAAGAATATTGTATGCTTATTACATTTAGATCTAGCTACAAATTTTTTTTCCTGACAGAAGACTTTTCCATTCATCTTCTAAAATAATCAACAGCTGTGTGAAATAGTTTAATTTTAGGAAAAAGACTGTACTGCAGTAGTACAGTTTCTTAAAATTGAATAATGCTATGTTAATCACAACTATGCGCTAATGCCTATTTACTTCAAATTAAGAAAAAAAATTAAATAAAGCATGTAACAGAATTTTTAAGTAATGTTTCACTGAAATATTCTTAAATTTTATATATGATTTCGACTTTTGACCGGCAGTGCAATATATGTATATTAAAATTTGTTATTTTTTACACATGCATCTCTTGTGGGCTACCAGCAGTGAAGTTTTTCTTTTTGTAGAGTAGATACATATTATTTATGAATATAGAATAAAATTTAATTAAAACGAACAAAATCAAGGTAATCACTGAAGAGACAATTTTTTTCAGTCGAAAACGAGACACGCTGCTACGACGAGTTGGGTTGTCTAAACATCACCAGGAGCTGGTATCACCTCATTCATCGACCTCTCAATGTTTTCCCGTTACCGCGAGAAGTCATTAATACCAGATTCATCCTCTACACGAATCAGAATCCTTTGGACGTAAGTAAAGACCAATGCTTCGATAAACAACAATAAATTAAACTAGACCGCTACATAATCAATCGAATAGATAAAGAAAGTAAAGTAAATAAAGGCTAAATGCAGTCAAGATTAGATCTTGATGCCTATAATAATATTTATATGTAAATTTTAAATATACATCTTCCAGTTATATAGGATAATTTATTTTAATCTCAACTGGTATAAATATTTCAAAAATAATATTATCGTGTTGTACGTCCCTCTATATACTGTACAACTTTTATTTGAAACGTTTTTTGATAAAATTGTATATTTTCAAAATATTTGCCTGTTAAAATTAAAGTAAATCACCCTGTATAAACTGCACACTAATTACTATCCGATTTAAAACGTGGTCATAAATTGAAGCTGAAATAATAATGTCATAAATTAGGTGTTAAACTTAATTCCTGCCGTTTTTCGTCTTCAAAATTGATTTGTTTCAAAGGAAAGATGAGTAAATACCTTAATCAAAGTAATTTCCTCCATTTTCTACTTTATTACTAATTAATAATACTTTATTAATAATACTTTGATTAAGGTATTTCCTTTCGAAACAAATAAATTTTGGAGACGAAAAACGGCAGGAATTAAGTTTAACACCTAATAAATTAATTGTCCATTTAATAACGACGTTAATTATAAACATCTTAAAACACGCGAAAAACCTATTATGAAAAATATTACCCTCACTAGAGTTTGAACCTGGAACAGGTAATCCTAACTATCCCCACTCTATTAGAAATTAAAGGAGCAATGGTAATACAATCCCTTGAGTTAAATAACATTTTGTTATTTTTAATTTTCATATGTGTCAAAATATAATTTAATCCATTTCTGTGGTTAGTTTAAAAAAATTCAACGCGAACTGTTAACAAAAACGTAAGTGAACTGTTTCTAACACAATTCCACAAGACTGTATAGAACGTCTTGAAGATCTAAGCTATATATAGATCTGGGGTGGGCATCTTTTTTGTTACGGATAAAAATCGTACGGGCATTTCGAAAGTACGTCTTGCGTTTTAGCTGTTAACGCGAAAGTAAAACCTGGGTGAAATAGATCAAAATTCTCCGACAACTGGAATTTCATGGCTAGTAAATTTGATGCGATGTAAACACTTCCGCATATAACCGCGTATATTGAGAAATTGTATTGAAAGAGCCCGTCGGAGTCTGTCTTGCGACAAGAATAACCGAATGAGAATATCCTCCATCCTCTTGTCTCTTATCGCGTATAGGATCAGCCGTCGATATTGAATCCAATGGATATCTTAATTGGCTCCATTAATTAAACGAAACTACACGTATCAATGTGCAGGTAGCGGTGCAACGTGCCACACGCGCACTATTCTTACGTGCACGAAGATAAGATCTCTGATTTATGAATTAATGGATATCCAAGGAGGAAGAGAGCCGCGGGTCTGTGCGAAGTATCGAGCGTGATATATCAGTAGCATAACACGCGCGGTGAAATCACATACCTCTACCATAACTGCACACGCAAACGTATATCACTTCGCATAAAACCGCTGAATCGTGAAATTAAAATAAATTATACTTTTGAATATACGATTGGCGGAATTGGATACGATTGGCAAATATTGGATTGAAACGAAAGTTCATAGCTCTATATCGAATTTCAATATTCAACTAGCTGTAATTTCATTAAAAATGAACAAAATTTAAATTTAAAAAAATTTTAAAGCTTTCAAATACTTTTGGAAGGTCACTATATTTTTTAATTCCTGTGAGTTTGATAATTTTTACACATAGAAAATTTACAAAATAGGAAATTTTCTTCTCACTCTATAAGTCTGTTATATGCCCAAAAAAACTTGAGAAAATTTTCGACTTTTTGACGTGAAAGCTTAAAGTTTTTGCTACAAAATTGTTTTTTTAATATTCCTAAAATTTTTTGTTGCCGAGTTCGCGAATTAAATAAAAGAAGCATTTCAACTTTGATTGTCCTTACAACTCCATTAAAAATCGTTGTACTGCAATTTAAAAAACAGATTCTTAAAGCTAAAACTTGCACTTTGCTTTCGAATGGTATAATTGTCAATATTTTAAAAAAAAACATAGACATAATACAAACGAAGTAGCTACGTATTTTTGTTCCAACTCAATGCAAATCCGTGATATCTCGTAACTTTTTTTTTGCTAATATTTTTTTCCTTGGAAACAAATACGCGCGTCTATATATGAATACAATTCTTGCAATTAGCATGCATTTGTCCTTCTGAATAATAATAATAACGTATACGCGTCACGCGTTTGAGATTTAAAATTAACATAAATGGTTTTGAACGAACTCTTCGAATAATTGACTCTCTCAGATGTGTACACTTAATAATGTCCAGTCATTTTTCCCCCAGGGTCAAATATTAAAAGTGGCCAAGAATAAATCCATCGAAAACTCGAACTTCAATCCTAAGCGACAAACCAAATTCATTATACATGGCTTTATAGACACTCCACTCAGCAACTGGGTCAAGGTGAGCTTTATCCTTTTATTATTCCTATACATATACTCGTTTATCGCCCTAGATTTTTATAGAAATCCTTGCGTTATGTATTCGCAATCAAACTGTCATACTCATAATACCAATTGCATGTATGTACCAAAGACTAGCCTACATCGTGCATCTCCATCGCCCGACCATCGTCGTCTATTGCGAGCTAGACGTATTGGTAAAGAAAAGTACTTTTCTGCTACATTGCGTCAGTGTTTCAAATAGATATACGCGACCTAGTGACACAGTTACATTTGATGACAGACGCAGTTCTTAAATAACACGCGAAAATTACCGCCAATTATTTACCCACAAAATATACTCGTAGGAAATGAGGAGTGAGCTGTTGGTGCACGGTGATTACAATGTTATCGTGGTCGACTGGGCTGGTGGGAGTCTACCTTTGTACACCCAAGCGACAGCGAACACGAGACTGGTTGGACTCGAAATAGCTCATCTCATCAAGCACTTACTAGTAAGAGATGTTCCTAAATTATCCCATTAATCCTTCATTGCCCGCGTGTGGGATGTCCAAGTCATTCTAGATTTCTAAATTCGCTAAATATATACAGATATATACGAACGCTATAAATATATAAGTATTATTTATACATGTTATTATAATCCAATCCACTTAATGTTACGAGTGTTGCGAAACATTTAATTGATTAATCAGAAAAAAGAACTCTATTAATTGATAATCAAAAAAATCTCCAAAGCATTCGTAGCATCAAGTATGACATAAATCGTTTTATATTTTTATGTTATATATTTTTTTAATTGTATAATTGTCGCAAAATACTGTATTTATATATTTATTCTTATTTCTGATAAAATTTCAGACAAACTACGGCCTAGATCCGAACGATATACATTTAATCGGGCACAGCCTCGGTGCCCACACGGCCGGTTATGCGGGCGAGAAATTGGGCGGCAATATTGGACGTATTACCGGGTTGGACCCTGCGGAGCCATATTTCCAAGGAATGCCGAGCCATCTTCGCCTAGATTACACGGACGCTCGACTGGTAGACGTAATTCACACCGATGGAAAGAGCATATTTTTCTTAGGTAAACGCGCAATATACACTACCGCTTTGAATAGATTTCTTATTGAGTTCGACTGTGCATATAATGAAAAACTAGGAAATTCTATTGATCAGAATGAAGACAATCGAAAGATGACAAATCTAGTAGAATTACGAAAAAAATCAATGTTTAATTTTTCAATCAGCTAAGAACATTATAAAACACTTGTAACTTGATGAATGACAAGAATTCAGGAAATTAAGTTCATAAAATTTATAAAATTTATGAAAACTTGTGGTAATTCAAAAACTTCTTAAAATAAAAAGAGAAATATCTCAATGTGTAAAAGCAAAAATAATTCTACTACTACTAAGAAAGATATTTTGATTACACCAACAAGACGATAATAGAATCTATTTCGGTGAGACCAAATAAAATTTTTATTATCATAATTGGGCTCGATATTTTATAGCTAAAATATTCGATAGATTTTAATATAAGGATTTGATTACCTATACTATTTTTAGTTGAATCTATAGATCCGTTGCTTGTACTTTTTGCACTCACAGCTTCGCTTTCTCTCTCTTCAACGCAGAAATATATATTTATTTTAGAAATTTCAAGTAACGTGAATAGATTTAAAAAAAATTTCTAGTGTATTCATTAGATGTCCTTTTTTTATTAAAAAGTTATATTGAGATCAAACTAAATAATTTTAATATTATTATCAAGAAATTCTAGTATGTTTAACAGGAAGGATTTAATCATGCTTATCTCGTAATTTATAGAAGAATTTTGCTTCGTTTATTTTCCAAGACATACTAGTTGAATCTACTCAATTTTCAATTAACACGACTAGATTTTTTTCTTTCTAGATATAGCTTTATTTGATAAAATCCTTATTTATTAAACATATATGTAACAATATTCGTCAGTCATCGTTTCGATAAATTCTCTAATAAATGGAGCTCCGTCGCGTTCCCGTCATGAGTCATATTCTCTAAACTAACGTAGTACATGGCAAGGCCTTCCAGGATATGGGATGAGCCAGCCTTGCGGGCACTTGGATTTCTATCCTAATAACGGCAAGGAACAGCCCGGGTGCACAGATCTGAGCGAGACCACGCCATCGCTGCCGCTTACCTTAATACGAGAGGGCCTTGAAGAGGCTTCGCGTGTCCTAGTCGCCTGCAACCACGTGCGCGCGCTCAAGCTCTTCATCGAGAGCATCAACTCCAAGTGCCAGTACGTGGCGCACGAGTGTTCGAGCTATGCGAGCTTCTTGCGAGGCGAGTGCTTCTCCTGCAAGAGCAATAACAGCCTGAGCTGCGGCGTGATGGGTTACCATGCGGACATCAGTCCTGCGCTGATAAAACGCCAAGCCATGGGACAAGATGTCTCGTCCTTGTTGGGATCCAAATTCTTCTTTATGACGGGCAAGGATGATCCGTATTGCAGTGAGTACGATATCTGTCGAAAGCGGCTGAGCAGATTCTTAATCTTCCGCAGATGACGGTAGATCTATTGAACCCACTCAATTATAAATCTCTTGGTCAAAAATGTCAAACAATTCAAATTTTCTTTATGTTACATCTGCAAATTTATAGATTATTCTTATTGAAATATACTTAGGCTGGTATTTATAATCGATTCTTATATTTAAGACCGTCTTAAGTACAGACTTAAGATATTACGAATTAAGGAGGGCTGTTATTAATATCTTAAGATATTACTTAAGATGATCTTAAAATAAGAATCGATTATGAATACTTGTCTTACACACATTCTTTTTTATACATTATGTCATTTTGCTCAAGAAGAACACAAGTCATCATGACATCAAAATAACTCCAAAATGATGAATAAAAGTTACTTTTCAATCATTTACTTTTCAATCATTACTATTTTAACGTCATTTTAACGTTATTGTGATTTGTTGTTCCGCTTAGATGGTCCCTTGAAAATAATCAGAGAGCCTTTTAATTAACATAAATTAAATGAGTTACAAATCCAACGTCAGTAACTATAATATCGTAGAGTTTGTCGTTAGCTCCGGAGGATTAAACGGTGTTAACGAAAATTAATTCAAACGCTATTTCTTGCTATCTAGTACCTATAGATACGTATAATCCAGGTTGGCTGTATAATCTTCGATATTAAGACTACTTATACTAATGCTAATGAATTTTGACGTTATAAAATTAAAAACGATAACTATTAACTTTCCCAGTAATAATAACTGCAGCTTAAGAACATCATCGAGATCATCAGCTTTCCATTACAATGTTTCATTACAACGCAATGTTCTCTCATGCTTTTAAATAGGTATTTTGATTGTATATCATAAAAGTGTCGTGCACAAGAAATATCGCAATCGCAATTAAAAATCTTGCCCGTCAGATATGAACGTTAATTTCGATCGAAATTTATTCAATCTGCCTGTATAGACGTCTGTTAACTTCTCGCTATCGATGCGAAGAGAAGAATATCTACTGAGCAATGCGGCTTTTCTCTATCGCGAAAGACGCGACTTTCTCCGCGCGCGTACCGCGATAAAAGCAGTAAACGGAGTTCCCCCTCTCTCTCTCTCTCTCTTTCTCTCTTTCTCTCTTCTCTCCCCCTCGATCTCTCTTGAAATACTCTCTGATACCGATCATAATCACCTTTTAGGAAGACATTATAGAATTACCATCAACCTCGCCCGACCGCCGACCGCGGAGAGCTGGGTGCAGGGCTTCATGAAAGTCACTCTCCACGCCGACAAAGGCATGATACGCAACATGGATCTCACGCCCAGGTAAGTAATCATACTGGCGAACGTTATCGCTTCGACAACCCACATTCGTCTATGTCGCTCTTGGTCACGCGACTGCGAAGATTAATAATACAAATTAACTGCCACTCTGGTGAAAAAAATTCTCGTTGGTCCGCATATTCATACTTCATTTGAATTGATAAATGTACGTATTTAGCATATAGTTTACGTTATACATATATTGTATAGAAGAATTAATATAGGCCACATATCATATAATATTTTGAAGAATTCATCATATCTTAAATTTATGAAGGTTTCTGGAAAATACCTTAAACTTTGTCAGATTTTATATGTTTCCTTTGGAAACGATAGACTGAGAAATTTTAAAATATTTCAGAATTTATGTATTTAAAAAATTTTAGAAAAGATATATGTAGACTCCCAGCAAACAAGCATGGAGGGAATTATCTTTTAAAATTCATCTTGAAAATATGGTAGTTGTGGTACAATATAATATTTTAAAGATTTTTACCATGCACTTTAGTAAAATTAATCAAACTCATTTTATAATTATTGTAGTTTTATTGATGAATGAGAGAAATTTACATAAAATTCTTCGAAATACAGTGTTGTCCCAGAAGTACCATATTTTCAAGATAAACTCTAAAAAAAAATTCTCTCCGTCTAACGTTATTTGTCGTCATTTTGACGAAATGCTGAGAAAGTCCAGCAAACAAGCTAACGTTATTTGTCGTCGTTTTGACGAAATGCTGAGAAAGTTCAGCAAACAAGCTGATATTATGTTTCGTCATTTTAACTTATACTTATTTGCTGGACTTTCTCAACATTTTTGAAGTGTACCAATTCGTATAAAAAATTTGTGAAACTTCTAAAAAATTACAGAATTATACAAAAATTCTGACAAATTCAGAAATCCTGAAAAATTATATAAAGGATTCCAAGAAAAATTTTTGCCAGGGCAACTATATATGTATATTTAATTTTACGCTTCGCACAACCGATGCTGTGATCGTAAACAACGAACCACATAAAAACGTCGGAGAATATATATTCTCGCGCATTCCGAGCGAAACCATCGATCACAAGAGACCGGCGTGTGTCCGTAAATTATTTTACGACCTGACTCAATCTCGCGCTCGATAGCCTGTCCAATTCTTTTCTACTTGCCACTATTTTTTAACGGACTATCCCTCCCCCGCAGCGGTTACATGAAACTGGAGCACGGATCGACCGCGCGGATGGTTGTTGCTCACCCGACCGGTTCCATCGGCAACATCGGTAAGATCCGTCGGATTGAGCTCTCCTGGGTCTACGACATGGACGTGCTGCAGCCCAGGTCCCTGTGCTTCTTCTGGTGTAATGATCGTCTGTACGTTAACAGCGTCAAAGTGGATGCTATGGATCTTCCGGGCAGAGGGTGAGAAACTAGAGCGTGACAACTGCTACATTTAGCAGAAAAAGTAGTTGTGCAACCGTTATAAGATAATATGATTATTTATATGATCTTTAATATAATTAGTTTATACTACATTCGGTAAGACACTAAAGGCAAAAACCATATTAAAGAATCTTCCCAAATAGCATAAAACATTCGATGAATATTCTCAGAAAATACAAATATTTTTCGTAATATTTGAATCAAATGTTCTATAAATATACCTAAAATATTCTATTTAGATCCATATTCATAATAAAAAGAACATTTATAGAATGTTCCTCAACATATTCGTATAAAAATACGTAGCATATTCCATGGAACTTTGTACAAAATATTACGTATGTTTATTTATAATTATGCCATTTGAATATACTATGAATATACCATTAATATTTGACAGTGCTTTTAATATACATTCGTAGAATATTCTTAGAATATTTATAGAACATTCACAGAATATTTGTGTGCTATCTGGGTTACAAAAGTTGCTTTTTCTGCTGAATGCAGCCAATAACGGTCTGGGATTGTCTTCTTGTATGTACATACTTAACTTTGTTCCGCTTTTAGAAAACGCGAAGCGGATTTCTCCAGCAAACTCTGCTCGGTTAGCAGACAGGAGTACGCAGAGATCGCGAGCGGATCCACCGCCACGTTCGTCGACAATTGCTGACGATCCGTTCCGCGGCGGGAAATCGCATTTTGGGCGCGTCATATAATTACAAAACGCAGCTGCTACTATCCAGAGGCGGTTCTCGAAAGTCGGACAACGATGATGATGATGACGATAATGATGATGAAACGAAACGAGAATCGCGGCCCCTCATAATCCTCGTAATTTCTTTCGCCGGCAATATAGCGACGGGAGAGGCGATTTTATGTACTTGTGCTCTCTTTCTCTATTTATCGCGATCTGCCGCTTTCTTCAAATGCGGCCCAACGGCACGAGCTACCAATTAACACTTCTATGGATGGGACGATCTGACGCAACTCGCTGCTCTACACATCTATAACCGAGTTCCTGGAGATCTGTCCCGTTGGTGAAGATTAGATTCTAATAACGCGATTGATTGCGAAAGCAGTTCGTAGAAAGAGAAATTCTTAGTGAATAGACGTCTAGATGCGAAATCAAAGCCGCGAGCGTGCTTCTGATAGAAAAGTTTAACTTCTCGCTATGCTCTTTTTCTTTTTGGTAACGATTTCTTCAGTATTAGTATTGATCGATTTACTATGTACATGTTGTATATAATAGTAGATGTAACGCATTAAAATTAATTTCTTATGGATGTGATTATCGCTAGAGTCTTGAGTGACCACTAATGTAAGGGCTCCTATTAAGCCGATCTATGTATTATACATTGAGACACTTATTCTGTTTTATACGATGATATGATTATCGTATTGTCTCTCGCAATACAAATATAACGATAGGTTGTGATATTTTCTTGCTTAAGAACTATAAAAAAAAGATGCACAAAATGCGGTGACTCAAAGACGACAAACTATACTGCTATTTGCTCATAATCTTTATAAATAAAATGTACAAAACATGTAATGAAAAGGCAATTCTTGTTTATGACAAGAATACTTCAAGCTATTTTTTTAATATCTGTATAGATTGTTGCATTGTAAAATAAAGTTTATTAGTTATAAGTATGGATACTATTGCACAAAAATAAAATGGGGATATTTTTATAAAATATATGTGAGATTTGTGTATGTTCGTGGAAGTTTATGTAAAATGTGTTATATTTGTTCTTGGAGATCTCGGGGGAAGAAACACACTTGCGACTACAGCTTGCTAATCTTTCGCAGTGTTTACTCCTCGATAAAACGCTTTACACGTTAATCCGTCGCTTATACAAAAAGATTATCGCGGAGCGCAGCTATACACGGTAACACATGATTCTTCTCTTTTATCTTACATGAGATTCAACAATGATTGAGTAAAAAAGCCGTCCACGTTTGTTCGACGCGGTAACAAGGGATTGGTAAAATATATAATATGATATAATATAGCGATATACATAATATAATCTAATATAATCTCTAAAATCTGTCATATAACATAGAATTTGTATATAAATAATAAATAGGAAATAAGGGAGCAGGTTTGATCGATTAGCTTGGTAGACTTTAGCACTAAATTACCGTTATGAAGAACATTTATATAGGGAGACTATGGGGAAAAACTGGTGACTGGACAAACAAGAAGAGTGTGTGAAGATAAATTGAGAACAGTGAAAGAGAGAGAAAGAGATAACTAACAATAGAGACGTGACTATACAGCTGATTCATTTGGCATAATAGTCTAGAGCGGACTTTTTTCTAGCGCGATAGGATACGGTCAGTGAAGATCATCGACCCAAGCGGTGTCTAATGACTCGATGAGAGTACGGACGAAGGCCATCTCCTTCCGTGCATTCTCTAAAATTACCCGAGGATCTTGGGACGTACACCGCAATACATTCGGCGCCATCACCATCGCAAGATTATTGGCGTCCATTTTAGTACGGGCGACCACCTCGGGTCTAGCGAATATCTGTAAAGTCGTTTCAGTATCGTAGCAAATGTTCTCCAAAGACGTTCAATTCAGTTTGAGTCAATGATGTTGAGTGCATGCTGCTTTTGAGTCTTCATACTCTCACCGTGCGTACAGCATTAAACGGTTACTGTGTATATAGGTTTATACTTCGTTTAAAGAAGCGTGATATTTTGTTCGATATAAACACAAATTTAGAATCACACGATTGCACATCGCTAAGCGCACGGTGAAAATAACAGACAAATTTTCATTCGGCTTTCTCTTATCGATTTATGTATAAAATGGCCTCTTACCTGTAGGAAGCGTATTAGATGACACAGCACACGACGGTTAAGATCCGGTAAACGTTCGACAAGTGTAGCCACATTTGCCGCAGACGCTTCCGGATCGTCATGTCGCATGGACACGCATTCTACGTAGAAGGAATCTGGTATCAACGGCTCGTACAACTCGCGTACCCATAATTTCAATAAGGAGGCGGGTGCATGAGCGTCCTGTGAAGCTGCCAGAATCGCCCCATCCTCAAACCTGTCCAGACAAGATTTCAACGCGCTGACTTCATCGGCGTCCGCGGACACCCGGAAGATACCCTCAGTTAATGTGCCACCACGCACAAGCACTTGGCGCGTCAGCGTAGTTTGTATCCATGGTAACTCTCTAAGCGGGAAGCGATCCCTTTGTAAAGCCATTACTTCGGAGAGTGTCGCACCGAACATAGACGCGCGGAAGATTTGTATCTACGAGAAAAGCACAAAGGACATGTACAGAATACTGTATTATAATGCAAAGTGAATTAATCTATATTCGGTAATTGATCTTTTAGTAATTGTTAGTGCAATTTATTACCCTCGCTTGGTCGATATCTTCCACTGTGGCTTTGCGAGGCTGCCGTTTACCGTGCGCGCCGATCCGCTGCAATCGTCTACAGGCTACGGTCGCGTAATGACTGACTTGCACGTGTATTGGCCACTTGGCGACCTCGGGAAACTGGAAGTTAGGATCGCGATGCCTATTCATGTAGCCCTCCAGGTAGGGCTCGAACGTAGTGCTAGGCGGCACGAAAGCCAGACACACAGCCATCAATTCCCATCCGCGTCGCAGGCTCTCCTTCCGCGGATTCTCCGTCGTCTGCCGGCAGATCTGAACGTACAACTCATCCCGCAGAGGCGGCTTCGTGAACGCGGTATTCACGATATCCATGGCGACGCCGTCCAATGTCATACCAACATTTGCTTTGCGATCTCCCATATATACTTGAACCAATCGGAATAAATTGCAAGCCTCTCTTTTGAGTAGTTTCTCACCGTCCACCATCGCGAGCATCGGTTGCGGAATTGGATCTTTCGACCAACTGAGAATATCCCGAACGCTGAACTTCTTTCGAAACAGCAGTCTCAGTCCTTTCGGTCTGCCGCAATTCAAATTGAGATTGTCCTGTGCATATTTTTCGATATCGCCACCGCCCGTACTGTCATCTCTCCGCGCTTCCTCCAGGTCAGTGTTATCGACATTCGTTATACCGATACTCGGAGTTGAACTTACAGTGGGTACAGAGACCTGTCTCGTGGTCACTACGCTATCTCTCGCTTCCGTCTGAGACACGATATTCGGCGGTGAAGGTGGTCGCGCTTGCGGCCTTGTCAGAGTATCGGCTGTGGTGTAATAAGTCGCTAAGCCCGCGGTATCGTAATTACCTAAATCTAAAAAACATACAAAATACGTCGTTAATTACAACTGTTCAATAAAAACGTATAACATTTTATGCTCTTCAAAATAATATCTCACCCGCGTAATGATCCTCGAGATATTCTTGACTGGAAGAATCGCCTTGATTGCTGGCCGCTTCGTCGTCGGCGAATTGATCATCGGAATCGTCATCACCTCTTCCACCAATACCTTCGCCTCTGCCACCTTCTTCATCTAAAGAATCTTCTCCTTCTTCTACTAATAAAGGATCTCCAAACTTGTAACAACCTATTGTGAATAAAAGAAAAAAAATAATAAAACCTATTTCATCGCACAAAATTGCAATATCATAAAAATTTTTGGTTTATTACCTGATAATTTTGCTTGCTGAAGGATATAATGTTGTAATGGTAACAGATGATCAGCATCAGCTAAAAGGTTACCGTAAAACGGCGATGGCGGGGGACTGGGATTTCCATTACTTCTTTTCTTCTTGCTGTCGTCTCCTTCGGCGTGACCTTCAGTTTCTTCACCCGCGGCACTATTGCTGCTGCTGTTGCTACTGTTACTACTGCTAGTGTTACTACTGAGTCTCTGTCTAGATTGTTCATGGGTTTGACTTATCATCAAATAACGTTCGTGCATAGCATCATCGTCTCGTTCTCTCCTTCTAGCTTGCTGCTGCTGTTGCTGCTGTTGCTGTAACTGTTGCTGCATCTTTTGTTGCTGCTTTTGCTGTTGCACAAAACTGTAACTACGACCCAACGGCTGCGGCACACCTTGTAAAATAATAATTACTCATGTATTGCAAAAGATACGTGCACATATATACAGGAAGGTGACGAAAGAAATATAAAGATTATCTTACTATCCAATGAGTTATTGCATGCTGTGTTTCGCCTATACTCCTTCTCCCTATCGCGCTCCCGCTCTCTCTCCCGCTCTACTGCTTCAAGACCTCTTTGTTTTGAAGAATTACCACTATGTACGCCAGCAGATCTACCGAGACTCTTGGCAGGATCGTTTCTCTCAGATAACATTGCACCATATACGTCTCTGACATTTGCTTCCGAAAGCGACGCGGAACATCCATGATGTCTTCTACCTATGCTACCTGTACCATCCTGCGGCTGTTTATTCATATTTCTCGAGTGCATGGAACTCGGATAAAAGCCTGGCGGGTTCGTCTTGTCAAGACTATTGACTCGTTCCCGATGATGCTGCTGCATTTCCCGTTCTCTATCCCTATGGTAACGATTGCCACTCTCCATTAAGGAACCATACTTCTCGCTCTGTGATTTGTAACTATGGCTAAGTTGAACCTCAGGCGGACGATATGGTGGCATTTCCTGCCTGAAGACTCGGGATTCCATCAGAGAATCGCGATATGGCGATGTACTCGGCTCGGGACCATACGAGCCTCTACTACTTTCTCTGCCTAAAATATCGAAAAATCAATCGATACAAAGAAAGATGCGCGCGCGCATGTGTGTGTGTGTGGCTTGCATATAACAAATAATTATGGCAAAAGCATAAAAACATAAATATATTATACATCCTTACCATTTTTACTTTTGTCTAGGTCCAAGTTTCCAGCCCTACCTTCGCGTTGTGGATCAGTGAACGTCTTCTTCTTAAACAGGGGTGTGCTGGTCGAAAGCGATAGACCCAGTGGCGGTGGTTCTCCTACTAACGATACAGATTTCTGATTTTTCACACTTTCGAGGGTTCCGCTCTTGTGGCATCTAGTCTCCAGAGTGCCACTACTGTGCTGCCTAGGGGAGGATTGTGCGGTGTTCACCGGCGTTTGCGCGGCTGAACGATGATGATGCCTATGCGGCGAGTCCAACAAACGATAACCGGTCGACTCCAAGGAGGTCCTACTATGCGAGACGGAACTGTCGCTAGATCTACCAGAATCCTGTGAATGATTGTGTTGTCTGTTACGTGTCGTAGGTACATCATGGTGCCTGTGATGCCTATTATTGTGATGATGATGGTGGTGATGATGTCGCCTCGCGGACGGAGACGGAGAAGGAGGAGAAGTCTGAAGATCAACGCCAACCGTGGAAGTCCGCGTTTTATTCGCATTACCAAGAGAAAGAGCTTGCTACGAGAAAAAACGTAGCCATGTAAAATCTCAAAATGTATCGTCTCAATCCTTGTGAGAAAATTTAATTTACCAATGTCGGAGTGAGATTCGTATTTTCCTGGTGGTTGAATCGTGTCGATCGACT